TACGATGGAGCCTTTTCAAAAAAAAAAAAAGCACAATCAGACAGGTTGCCACCAACACAGGCCGCGTTGCAGCAGGCAATCCTGAGAGCCCATTACCAGTTGACGGTCTGGAACAGCGACAGAATAACAAACCCGGAGCTACCATCATCGCAGCACTATGGATGGCGGATGGACCAAGAAGAATGGGTAACTGTCATGACCAACATGCCACCAGCCCCTAAAGCGATACTTCAACTAGTACAGTGTGGATGTTCCAAAAAAAGGTGTTCCACTAACCGTTGCCAGTGCCGCAAGGCTGGTTTAAACTGCAAAAACTTTTGCAACTGCTCCGACAATGGCGAGAGCTGTGTTAATGATGTTCAGGAGGAAGACGTACTCGACTCATATGAAGAGGACAGTTCAGACAGTAAAATGTATATACATGAGTGAACCACATGAACAATCACTAACAGTTTTTATAACTGATAACCATGCTAAGATATTTTTGGGGGAGGTTAAAGTAGATTTTGACATGCTTCTAAAACTCCTGTGAAAAGTGATTCAAATGGCAGGGAAAGTTTATCTGATCCATTGGTTTTGCTAAATTGTCCTACTGTTCTGAAGAAAAAACTAGATGACAGACTTGCTCAAATAAACGAGTGCAAATTACAGAATCTGTTTTTATTTTGATCAAACTGGTTACCTGCCCTATATTTGTCGCATTAATGTCTCTAAAGCAATTCATAAAACGTAATTATTTTCTAAAACTTTTTCATTGTGGTAAAATAACAAAGGCAACATTTATTATGTTGTGCTTTTGTATCAGCCTCGTTTTCATGCTAGCGTGGTAATGTGATAACCCTTACAAAATAATCACATTTGATTGCACAGATGATATTCACCTGCATGACTTTTGTTAATGTCTGCCTTCATCAGGGGAAGTTTAAGGGCTACCAGTGCAACTTTTGAGTGAGCCTCGTTTTCGTGTTAACTTGGTCACGTGACCCCAATAACCTCTTAAAATCGTATGTTCGTATTAGAAACATTGACTTGCACAAATGTGTTGTTTTTGATAAAGTTTTACGGAAATAATGGAAAGCTATGGACAATTTTATGTTTGAGCCTCGTTTCCATGCTGGGATATACACATGACATTTTCCACCCCATATAAATCCCGTCTGAGCAAGTTACAAAGTTGCCACCAAAACTTTTCATGTTATTTAGGGTCCCCTTAACACATTTAGACTAGTGGCTTGCTTTCTTCACGAAATTCCCACGGCATTACACATGCTCCCGGACTAAGTGTTAAGCTTTTGCACAGCATAGCCGCTGTGACGTCACTTGCAAACCAGCAATACGTTATTTCTGTCGTGTTCGCCAAGTGAAACGGCCATTAAAGTAAAAAACTGCTCTTAAGGAGGTACTTTATAGTTTAGTCATATTGATTTAATTAGTGGGGTGTGTATTTATGGTGAAAGCGTCATTAAGGTTTCTTGAAAATCTAAATGTAGACGGATGAATGGAACACCACCATTTTAAGGACCTTCATTCTATTGCGTTACTTATTTTTTTATCATTTTTTATATTTTGCCTTACAGCAAAGCAAGTAACTGGCCTCCAAAGCTTATCATGCAGCTCATCCCACAAAATCTATTGGTAAGTTGACAAGTTTGAACTCTGGGTAAGGTTCAGTGAGCTGCCGTCCCCTCTCCCTTGCATCCACCTTCCCCTCCCCCCATGGTGCCCTCTCTTGATCAGAGAAGCCCGCTACCTCGCGCAGGGGCGAGACTTTGCCCTACAACATCTCGTCTTTGTTGTTATGTTGGTAAACCAATAGAAGCTTCATTCTGTGGTTGTTATAGACCAGTTTTTCTGTTTTCTCCTAGTCCACACTCGGACCTCTACTACAAAACTCCAGAACAGTGGCATTCCATTTTGCTGCTGATGATCCCACGTCTTTGAGAGCTCTGTACAGAGTCATGGCGTCCAGTGGAGTTAAATTTGTAAGTACAGGGGACTTCTCTAAATATATCTGTCACAGGACTGAGGATTTTTTGCAGTTTTTCGGTGATAGTCTGCAATATTCCATAACGAGGATTTCCGTTTGGCTGGTGTCTCATGTAAACCAACTTTTGTAATTGACCACTACAGAGAACACCACAAATTACCATAATACGCTTTGTTGGTCGCTCCAAAACTTTGCATAAGTATAATTGTCTTCAGTTTCTCTTAGGCCTGTTTACATGAAGGTAAGGGCCCTAGGTAGGTGTGGTAATATATGGCGGGTTACCACACCTAACATGTAAACGTGATCCCATCAAAATGAGAGATTATATGGACAGGCGGGTTACACCACCTAAGCGGCTTACCTCACCTTCCTGAGGCCCCCCACATCCGTGTAAACAGGCCCTTAGAAGTTAAAATGGCCCCAAGAGTAACTGAAAACAATACTTATGCAAAATTGTGGAGTGACCAACTAAGCTTATTTTGGTATCTTGTGGTATTTTTTGTAGTGGTCAAT